AGACTAATGACACTGATTTAAATATTTTAACGCAGCAGACATTAGAAGTGATTTGTCATTCTTTGTTAGTTGTTCAATCTGGTGATCAACTTCCTGGAGGTAAATATTGGCATCCTTCTGATAATATAAGTAAGCAGGCTTGGTCGGGAAGCGGGAGCGATCGCACTCGAATACTGACCAAGGAAATTATATTTAGTTGCGAAAAACTGGCCATGTTTTTTAGTCGTTTTGAGAACCTTTAAGTTAATGAACGAAACAAAAAATTTTTGTTTTACGGACATACATGGAAACATAAACAACTTGAATGTTCTCAAAATATCTTGGTGCAAAAGAATAAAAAGAATATTCGCGAACAATAAAAACTCGCCAAATTAACGAACAAACTAATTTTATTGGTTCAAAAAATACTTTTTTTCTAGTATAAATTGTTTTAAGACTATATATTATTTGTTTACAAAAATAAATGTTTTAAATATATATTAATTAAATTGTCAAAATTTTAAAAGTTTATTATAAATTATAGATTTTATTAGTATATTCTTATTTTTTATTTAAAAAGTATGTATTCTTTATGTAAATGTAATTGTGTGTATCTGTTTTTTATCGTAATGTATATTTTAAAGCAATTATTATGATTTAAACAAAGACTTACACAAATATTTGCGTTTTCAATGAAGTTATAATCGTCCAAATTCATAAAATAATTGTGTAACAAACATATAAGAAGTTTCTGGTTACTAAACACAAACAATGCATATGAAGTAACTCGCGGATGAACAAACACCGCGTACGATAGAACACAAATATTTATAGCAAATAACTAGATACAAAGAAAAGTTTCTAGATATCGGTTTACTGACTCTAATTATTTTCGCTTAATCTGCCATTCTTAAAACTCGTTATACTTTTTTCTGCTTTGAATACTAACTAAAATTAAAAAGCCCACTCACTAAACATCATCAGCGATATTGTGAAGCAGTTTCGCTTCCTCGTCATTAAGTATTTTTAACCTTTTTAGTTGATTTCTATTTTGTTAATTTAATTTCTATAGTAATTCAATAGTTTAACTATTTCATTTGTTTATCTTACTTAGAAGAATTGCTTCAAGTATGTTAAATTTTTCAAACTACGCGAAACATAAAATAGGTATTAAAAAAATAAACTTTTTTATTTATAAAACAATTTAGCTTAAATAAAACTAAAACTTGCAAACTTTGTTAATAAAGAATATTTGTTTCCTTTTTAAACAATCGTAAGTTGTTACTTTATATAAAAAACATCGCTTAATTTTATAAAAAAATTATAAAAGAGCGATGTTTCGAAAATATTTGTTCTAAACGTAATTTATTTAGCTTTAATTTTTTTTTTTTTTTTTTGTAATTGTCTCTCATCGGTCCAATTAATCTTGATCGCTTTTTTTTTTTTGCTTTAGAAAATGTTCTTAAAACGACTAAAAAATCTGGCCAGCTTTTCACAACTAAATATTATTTACGTGGTCAGCAATCGAGAGCGATCGCTCCCGCTTCCCGACCAAGCCTGAGTAAGGCTACAGAGAATGTTCCAGCAACAAACAAAGCGTCAGAAAGTGTCTTTGCAGTATTGGATCTTTTAATTCGTACAAAGCCTAATGCCAAAATACAAACTATACAAGCTTATACTATGTGGTGTAAAAACAAAACACTAGACTGGTTGGATAAAGAGACTTTAGATGAACGTGACTCATTGCTAAAAAAAGCTTCAACAAACTTTAATAAAATGAAAGATAAATACAAACAACGCCATTTAAATTAAAGTTTGAAATGAGTGAAAGAATGCACAAAAAGCATAAAGCTAAAAAAGCGGCTGAAGATAAAGCCTTCTTAAAAAAAGCTAAATCGGTTAATGAGTCGTTAAATTTGGGGACGAAAGTGTGGTTGACCTCAAAAGAAGCAGATTATGAATATGTTTTGTTAGTTGAAACATTTAAAATCAAATAATATTAAGAGCACAGTTAGATTTTTATAGGTATGTAATGGAAGTTAAATGTGAAGCTAAATATTTTTACAAAACTAAAGTACTTTGTAGTAAGCGAATAGACTTAACAAACTGTAAGTTGTTCAGTAATTTACAACCAGTTATTAGAACAAGGACTTTTCCAGAGCCCATCAAGAGAAGAGTTATTTTTATTGAAAGATAAGAACGAGATATTTTGATTGCAAAACAGAAAGAAGAGTTAAGTGAAAATTTGAAGAATGCAAGACTGTCTCAGTTAGCAAATCAACAAAAAACAAACATCTTGCCTATTATTCTAAATGATGTTAATTATCTTGTTGGGAAATTTATTCAAAATAAAATAGTGAAAATTGACATTAAAAAATACTTTTGGTGTACAGGTGAAGTTTTTTGAGTAAACAAGTTAACTCCTAACTTAAAAAAAACTTTGTTTGATGTGGTCTATGAGACTGAAGAAAATCAAGTATGGACTTTTCCATTGCTTATTGACGTTGAAAAAGGAAAGGTTATAGTTCTGTAAAAAACCTATTTTATAATTTATTAGAAATAGTTATAAGTTATAAATATTATATGTAATATTATATTATAAATATATTAAATATATAATGAATTGTATAGTAATATTATAAATTAGTCATATATATTAATCTAAAATATTTATATCTATATTGTTTATAGTTTTTATAACATATTGTATATAGTTATTATATATATTATTAGTATTATTATAGTAGAAATATACTATAAACTATATAATATTATTATAAATTAGTCGTATCTATTGATCTATAACATTTATATCTATATCATTTATAGTTATTATAATGTATCATATATAGTTATTACATATATTATTTGTATTATCATAGTAGAAATATATTATTAATTATATAATATTAATATAAATTAGTCATGTATATTAATCTACAATAATTATAATATCTATATTATTTATAGTTATTATAACGTATCATTTATAGTTATTATATGTATTAAATATATTATAAATTATAGTATAAATATATTATTATTATTATAAATTAGTCGAATACATTAATCTATAATATTTATAATATATATATATATATATATATATATATATATATATATATATATATATATATATATATATATATATATATATATATATATATATATATATATATATATATATATATATATATATATATATATATATATATGTATATATATATATATATATATATATATATACATATATTTATAATATATATAAAATCATTTATATTAATCCATAATATTTATCATATCGTATCTATAATATTTAAGAAAATTTAATATTGGACAACCTTGTGTTTTAATTTTTAACAATTTAATGTTGTAATAGAGTTATACTATATTAATGTATATATTTTTTTTTCTGCTGTTCTAAAGTTTAGTTGTGAACTGAAAGTTGTTTTATTTGTATATTGTTTAATGATAACAGATAGATTATTGCCTAAAGTCATTGCGTAATGTTTTTACGCAGTTTCGATGATAAAAAATAAATGTTAAAAAAAGAAAGAAAAAAAAAGCGCATTTTTTTGTCTAAAGCCGAGTTTCCACTCATCCGTTTTTCAACTGGCACGGGATAGGAAAGGAAAAAATAATCACGTGAGCATGCGTAATAAAAGTTTTTATTTGTCCGAAAGAAAACTGCGCATGCTCACGTGATTATTTTTCCGTTCCCTTTCCCTTTCCCGTAGAAAAACGGATGAGTGGAAACTCACCTTAAAAAAAATGTCAAATTAGGTAGTATTAAAATGTAAATTTCTTGACAATCATAGGTGCTACAAAATTGGTTAAATCCATTTTAAAACGAAATTAAAATTTTGAATAAAATAAAATAAACATTAACTTTTCAACCTAATTTTATTACAAGATCATAAAATGGACTGAAGTGCCTATTTTGGCAACTATACATTAGTACAAGGATCTATATCACTTTTTCAAAAGATTTTAACTAAATTCATGTTAACGCAGATGAGTGAAATTGATCTAAAGACTCTAAATTGGTACTTTCTAGATTTCCTATTAGGGGTAGTAAAAAGGTTTTAAAAATTATAAATACATATAAAAAGTTTCTTTAAATAATAAAAAAACCTAAAGCAAAAAAAAAAATTATAACATCTAAAGCTTTAGTTTGGACAAAATACACTGATAAAATATTGCTAACTTTAAATAAAAGAATTCGTATAATTTGTAAATCTCCTTAACACTGTTACAACATTCTTCTCGCATACACCTAAGTATAACACAGAACAGAAACTTTTATAGTAGACTTTTAAACGTCTTTTTTATTAAGAATGTTCTTTGAAATTTTTTTTTAAAAAGTATTTTTTTATAAAAGACTCACTCACATTTTTTATCCAATTTCAATTTTAATTGAAAAATGGAATTTTATGTTGCATAAATTAATTATTATTATTATTTTTTTAATTTTATTTAGGTGCCCCAAGAAGTTCTTGCGGTCTTCTCAAAGAGCACCGCGGATGAGCATTTAATTGGAAGTTCACCTTCCTAACCGATGTCGCAAGACTTGTCCAGAGATGGGGTTTGAGCCACGGATCCTTTGTTTCTGTGGCAAATGCAATACCACTGCGCCACGGCTGCATTTTGAGGTCCTTTCACATGCAATTTGAGGTCGTACTGCATTCTGAGGTTCTTTTACATTCAGTCAGCGCGTAGGAACGAAAATTACATTGAGGGGGGGGGAAGCCCGCACTGAATTATGGAGCCCCGAAATAGTTTTAAGGCCCTTTGTTTTTTAAAGTAATTTTTTCAGTAAATTTTTTTTGGAGGCAAATTATTTGGGAAGGGGGGCAAATGCCTCTGCTGCCCCCACCCACTTCCCCCGGTTGCGTACAGTGCAAATTATTTTTTTGAGATACGCTATCTGAATCACAAAAGAAACACTTTTTGACAACTCAATATCAATAAAACTGTTACAAGCACAGATAAATATACCTTGTTGCAAATTTATAAATTTATGAAGAAAGAGTAATAGCAAAACATATCGCTGTTATTAAGGATTTTTATATTCAAAGTAAAATAAATCAATTAGATTGAATGTTACAAAAAAATTTGAAAAAAAAAATAAAAATAGAAAAAAACTTAAACGATATAATTATACTTGTAGGTTAGTTTACAAAAATACTATTGTTTAATCACAAAACATTACTTTGAAAAAATACTAATCAAATAATAATAATCGTAGATAATACTAACTAAGATTGTTGTTATATATAAAAATGCAGAGTTTGGAGGTAAACGTTCACTATTCAAAAAACTTAAACATCGCGTACTAATTCTTTTCATTTAGTAACACAATTTGAAGCACTAAAGTGAAATTTAAAAAAACGTATTTTAAATATTTAAAAGTTATAATTAAACTGAAAGAATAACTTACAAAACACATGTATATTTAAAAGTAAGTAAACAGAATTAATGTTTTTTTTCTTTAATGCCAGTAAACAAATCGGTACCTCACACTCCTGAGGAAAAATCTTACAAACGGAATCTGCTTTGTTTAACATAATCTTTAATCTTTGAATACACTAAATTAGAAAAACAAGTTTACACGCTCGTTTGTATGTATGTATGTATGTATGTATATATGTATGTATGTATGTATGTATGTATGTATGTATGTATGTAAGTATGTATGTATGTATGTATGTATGTATGTATGTATGTATGTATGTATGTATGCATGTATGTATGTATGTATGTATGTATGTATGTATGTATGTATGTATGTATGTATGTATGTATGTATGTATGTATGTATGTATGTATGTATGTATGTATGTATGTATGTATGTATGTATGTATGTATGTATGTATGTATGTATGTATGTATGTATGTATGTATGTATGTATGTATGTATGTATGTATGTATGTATGTATGTATGTATGTATGTATGTATGTATGTATGTATGTATGTATGTATGTATGTATGTATGTATGTATGTATGTATGTATGTATGTATGTATGTATGTATGTATGTATGTATGTATGTATGTATGTATGTATGTATGTATGTATGTATGTATGTATGTATGTATGTATGTATGTATGTATGTATGTATGTATGTATGTATATTTGCTTTTGTATTGAACAGACAAAAAAAATTGTATACAAATATTTAAATCTATAAAACATAAATTCGTACCCATTCACTCAAATTACTTTTGGAAATGTTGCAGTTTTTTAAATTCAAATTGTGGTAATCTTTGAGCCCAGTGTTTATAAATAGCATTAACTTATCATCGCTACAATTATTACATTCATTAAAGTGTTTTGTGCTTGTTTTTAAACCTTTTATGTTGTCTTCTTTTACTCCAGAGCGTGGTCCTACAGATTTATGTTTCAATATATGAGTATGTTGCTTAATAATTAATAAAATATTTGTTTCATGTTGTCACTGTAAATTGAAAAAGTTAAAAAAAAAACTCTAACCTTGCGTTTTGAATAGCTCAATTGAAACCAGCATAATCAAAATTGCAAAAAAAATCATCCTTAAATGAACTCTTGGGAGTAGTCCTTAATGTCTGAGCAGAGTAGATCGTTTTTGTGTGATTTAGAGTTCCGCAATGTATTTATAGAAAACTATAAGCAAACATTTACGCAAATCATATTGACAAAAAGTCACTCAACCTATTCAACAAAGTTATTAGAGAATTGGAAACAGAGGCTTTAACACACCTTATAGCAAATATGTTTTTTGTGTTCCTGTAAACGGAGTTTTGAGAGTAATCGGAATGAAAAACAACATTTCCTTAAGGTTCGCTGTCCAATCAAAAGACTTGTTTGATATCCAATCAAAGGAGAGATATAAAAAAGTAAGCTTAAACCTAAAAATAAAGCTATAACTGCATTGCTTAATACATAAACAAAATTTCTGAAGCGAATCCAATGTTTCGCACGTACATTTTGTTGTTTGATTGTAAATTGTTTAAAAGTGAGTAATTCCTATAAATTATGTTTGAACTTGTATACGTAATAATCAAATAAATATGGATTATACATTATACTTATATATATAAGTTTTCCACGTTTTTCCACTAGGTATTACCAATATAATAAAAGAAAACTTTTTCAATTTTGAAAAGGGTCCCTAAATATTCACTTAGGCCCCCTAAAATTGCTGTTACCCCCAATCCTAATTATATATATATATATATATATATATATATATATATATATATATATATATATATATATATATATATATATATATATATATATATATACATATTTACACAATCGATTTAGAAAAAAATTGACAAAACACAATAAGCCAGCTAAAGATTAAAGTCAGGCTCCAAGGAAAAAAAAAATCATTTGCTACAGTTTACAATAAAGTGTGCTAGATAGTATAAAGGTATCCATAAACTAGATAGTAGGCGGTGTTAAGATATCCAACAACTGAAAAAAATGCTAAAAATAGTTTACTGGCTTCTTAAAACCAAGTTAAAAATAAATGTTTAAAAAAATTCTTATGGCTGTATATTCTTTAATTTAACAATTGACATTGTTTTAACACCACCTAGATAAAAGACAAGGTTAGCGAATCCCTTATTTCAAGAAAAATTTATCTAACACGTAGTAATTTTACAGAAGGCAAGTGTGAAGTGTATTGGCGTCAAACATTTACATTTATTTGCAAAAAACTTTCATACTCACAAAACAGCAATTCAGAATCAAGATTAACATTAAGGATAATAAACACTTTAAAAAAAATCGAGGTTCTGAGTCTACCTGAAAAAATTGTAAGTAAGTAAAAATATTGATGATTTTTTAAATAAAAACAACCATTTTTTTTTTAACATGACGCTATATTTAAATATTGATAAAGATTGACTAAAAAGAAACAACAAAGCTTAAATAAGAGCACTCAATTCATAAAGGAACTGTTTTAAGTCAAGATTGCAATAAGTGTTTCTTTTGCTGAAGCTAACGTTTCGAATTTTTGTTGTGTTGAAAGATTAAAAACCCCAAGTTAAGTGAACAGGTCATTTTTATTTAAAGTATTCTAGAATACTATGATCTGTTTAATTATATTTCTAACATTAAACACATCTTTGGAGTGTAAGCTGATAACACAGCCACCAACACAGAAAAGAAAATAAACCATAAAAAATGTTGTTCATGCTTAAGTTTGGAGTGATAAGCATATATCTCATCTTATAAAGCTTTTCTTGGCCCAATAAAAAATCAAAGAAAAACACTTAATGTTTTACTTCAACTTATGACCACAAACTGACTAAGAAATTAATAAACTCGAAAGAATTATCCAGTTTGAATGATACAAGAATGCTGTTTTTTGCACAATCTTATTATAGAAACTAAAGTATTCTGCACTACAGCATTTCAGAGAGACATTTTTCAGAGAGAAGTTTGCAAGTATCTTTGTCAAATACTTACTTTTTTGGCTTAAAGATACCGTATTTCTCATCCAAGCAGAAGGAGCTTACTGAGAGGCAAGATTTATGAGTAACTACGTTTGGTTTTACAGATAAAACAGAACTAATATTTGAATACGAGACAAACAATACTGCCTGCTTCATTTATGTTTGCAGAAACATGGCGATTGAGAAGATTTTGAAAGGAAATAGAGAAAGCGGTTCGCGAGAATGAAAAAATGATAAACGACCTTATGTCGTTTTTCAAGTTCTCTACTTGTGCGAAACAGTTTGGTGTGGTAAAACAATTTAGCTGAGCATTAGATTAAGTTGATACAAAATATTATTATACCTGATTATAATAAGCACACGTAGCACACTCCTCAGTTGTGTTACTATAACAAGTCAGTAAAATTTTTAGAGTATTTTTATACCTTATTATTTAAAAAACTTTTAACAACATTTACTAAGACATATAAAGTACAGTAATAAGTATATTAACAAATGGTTAATAACTTAGATAAAATAGTAATGTAACTGGTATAATGATATTAGGTAAAAAAAAAAAAATAAAAAAAAATGATTTAACTGTGTATTCATATCTGTGCCTTATTTATTAATTTGAAAATGTCGAAAATCCAAAATATCGAAAAACAATTGTTATTAAAATTGACAAAATAATTATCTTTGGCATGAACATGTTTTATGAATTTTGAGTTTTGTTATTTTTATAGTGTTCAGTCATTTTTGCTTTAAGGTAGCAAGATGTTTTTTTTTTAATATAAGAGGAATTGTATACTCCACATACTAATTTTTAAACAAAGGAATGACTTGAAATCTATAAAAAAAAAATTGTTATGGCAACAATCTAGATATTCCTAAATTTTTAAATGGTAATTTAGTTAATGAGTCGTTTACCGTTCGTCTTCTAGGATTAACTCTTACTTCCGACCTTTCTTAGAAACCATATATGAAATCTATTGCAAAATTTGCCTCTGCTAAGGTTGCATCTCTTTAACGTGTTTAAATAAATAGAATACCACTCAGGGAGTGGTAGCATCTTTTTATCGTGTTTAAATAAATAGAATACCACTCAGGGAGTGGTTGCATCTCTTTAACGTGTTTAAATAAATAGAATACCACTCAGGGAGTGGTTGCATCTTTTTATCGTGTTTAAATAAATAGAATACCACTCAGGGAGTGGTTGCATCTTTTTATCGTGTTTGCCACTTTTTTGCTCCAGATTCTATTCTTTATCTCTATAAATCTCAAATCCGTCTTTGTATTGAACACTGTTGCCATATCTAGAACGGATGTTCGAATAATGCCCATTCTCTTTTAGACAAGGTGCAAAAACACATTGTAAACATAGTTGGACCTGCGCTTGCACTTCAACCAGTATCACATCATCGTAATGTTGTTTCTCTTTCTCTTTTCTATAAATACTATAATGGGCGCTACTCTAAAGAGTTAGCGTTTCTTGTGCCATCTACTAAAATTCATTTTCGTGTTACTCGTCATTCAATTAAGTCTCATCCTTTTATTGTTACTGTTCCTAAGTGCCCCCCAATTTTTTTCTCATATAGTTTTTCCATTGAACATCTATTCTTTGGAATTCGCTCTCTTCGTTTTGTTTTCCTGAATCATATTACTTACAAAGGCATCAACAAATAATAAAAATAGATGTATAAAGTTCAAAAATAAATAAATTAGGCATTTTTTTACAAGTTTTTAAAGCTTTGTTTTGATAAAATAGATACTTTAAATCAAAAATTTTTTAAAGGTAATTGAAAGATAATCTATAGCTTTTGCAAAGACAAAATAATTAGTTGAAGGAGATTTTTAAGTTATGTTCTGTTTTTTCTGGAATATAGTCAGCAAGTCGGCATTTTAATTGGCAAACTTTTAGTTTCGAGGACCATTTTTATTTCAGAAAGCAATTGACAGTTTTTATGGATTCACCACTCCCTCGTTTTATAAATTTATGTACTATGTATTACAAGAATATGTACAAAAGTTTACAAGAATATGTTAATAAATAAAATAATAAAAAAAACAGTTAAAATAATATTTAATAAGGTTTATTAATTTTTAAACTAAAGTTTGTTATTGTCATAATAATTAAATTTAATAACACGAATAGAAAGTTTTTTATTTCCCATTAAATACGATAAAAAAATAATTAAAAAAAAAATTATTTTTAAAGTTAATTAAAATTAAATTCATTGTCTAAAACAACACAAAACACACAAGTAGAATAACATAATTATTTGAATGCACATTATACATTTATTCGTAATTGCTTAGTGGTTAGTTTTAGTCACCCACAGATTTTCAGATACATATGTTTACAAAATAGGGAATATGTCTTTTTCATAGATATTGATGCTTCCCTTGTGGTCCCGTCCTTGTAGGCACGGGACCTACAAAGACGTCTTTTGAACGTTCAAAAGACTTAAAAGACGATTAAAACGTATTAAATACAATTAAACAACTTTTTTACGTCCCGTGCCCACTGTAGAGAAACAAATTTCGTTTAAATCCCGCTGTTAACATTTTAATATTAGCAAGTGTAATTGTTAATACTAGCAGTAAGCAAGTATTAACAACCGTAATACGCGTTGTTAGTAAATAAAATTAAAAAAAAAAAAACCGCGTATAGAAAAGCCTAGAAACTACTTTAAAATAGAAAAGCCTAGAAAATGACGTAACTCGACTAATATTAAATTAGCGTATTCATATTATCAGATTCCAGTTAAAGTATTTATCACAATTTTATTTATAACAATAACAAAGGATATAACAAATAAAAAATAAAACTTTAATACAACAACAAATAAGAAAGTTATTTACTACAATTTTTATATTTTATTTTATAATATATACCTTTTATTTGGTTAAAATTTATTTCGAATATAAAATTGTAATTATAAAGTTTTAGTGACAAGATAAAAATATTAATTTGTTTAATTAAATTAATTAGAATGATGTCTCGTACATGTTTCAACAGTCCAGACTCATATTGCTATATTTATGTGATGAATTAACTCTAAAAAATAGTTTTAGAAATGTTACAGAACATATCAATAAATTATATCATGTTTATCTAGATTGTAGAAATGACAATCAGGATAGTCTCCTCAAGTTTGCTATATAAATTGTTTCAGTTCTTTGTCTAAATGGTTGTACTGTTTTTGTCCATTAAAATATTATTAAACACTATTTTTTTGTGTATTTAAAACACTCACAATTATCTTATTACTTAATATTAATAGGAAAAGTTTTTTTTTTGATGCTATATCAAGTAAGATAACTTTGCTAAAAATTGGTTGGTAAAAAATTGGTTGATAAAAAGCAGTGGTTAAAGCTGGGGAACAATAAAATTTTTAAACATGTGAACGTTCCTTAACCCTAAAAAGTGAGGATGACAATTTACTGATTTTTATACTCTACCTAATTTACTAAAATTTATATTTATTATTAGATTTTAATTTTTATATAATAATATTTTAGTGAGGTTTATACTTTTTTAGCTCTTGATTTTGAGAGATTTAAAAACTTTACATATGCTATCTATTTACCATGTACATGTTACATATTATAAATGTAATGTTACCATGATAAAATTATAAATTCCTTACTTTGTATCATTAAATGAAAAGAATTGAATAAAAGGTTGTTTTTTTTGTTAAATATAAACAAGACCACAGAATTTACTGATTATGTTTAGCCACATATACTGTGTTTACCAAAGTTTAAATTTCTCACGGTCTTTTACCATCTAGTAAGCATACATTGGGCCAACGTATGTAAAATCATCGCAAATATCGGCTGTTTTTTCATTTGCAAATCCAACGTTGATCCAATGTCATGTGTTTAGCAATGATATTTATGAAAAGATTAACCGACAAAATTAAAAATAGCTTGCGCAGTTATATTGGTTCAATTTATGTAAAAAAACGCGAAAGAAGATTTTTTTACGATCTAAACCCAACATTGATATAATCTTTATAATCTAACAATTCAATCTGTACGGATCAACGCTGATCCATTGTATACAACCTAACGCTGCGAAATTAAATAAATTAAATAAAACTTTCCGTAAAACTTGAAATATTAAACCAAAAGCAAAACAAACATGAAAAATGTTTAGTGATGGATAGGTCTAATGATGGATATGCAACTCATTACCAATTAAAAATACAACGTTGAATCGACTTCAAAAAATAACCTTTGCCAACCTAAAATATAATGTTGTGCTAAAGTTGGATGTCTTTACGAGAGTCGCAATATTGTTCTAAATTTTTACCAACGTATGTGTGCTAGCTGGGTTACAATGCGCATTATTTAAACGAACTAATAATAACTGGGATTTATTTTTTTTACACCTTTATCTTCCTTTGCATGATTTTATAATTTTGTTTTTTGCATATTTGTTTACGTTTCTTTTATTACATTAGTATAATTATTAATTTTGTTGTTTGTTAATGTTTTTTTTTCAAAAAAAAGTAATGTTGTTCTAAACTTTTATTTTTTTGTTTTAAGAAAGTTTATACATCTGTTTGTTAATTTCATTATGTAACAAGCTTCTTCCTTCTACTAGTATTTTTATGTTGTAACAAGCTTCTTCCTTCTGCTAGTTTTTTTTTATGTTGGAGAAATAGTTCTAACAGTATTAATAGAAATAGTTCTAAATAAACTAAAATAAACTAAAAAACTTATTTTAATTTTTAAGCTTTGAATAATTGGCTTCAAAAAAAGTCATTTCTTTTTCAAGGAGATTTTTAGTGATCTAATTTCACCTTAAACGATTATCATTTAAAAATCAGAAGTTTTGATCTAAATTTTAGTTCTAAAGCTAAAGGCAATTAATTGTTTTGGACAATGAATTCATTGTTTTAGACGATGACTTAAAACAGAAACCGAAATGCCTTAATAGACATTAAATCAACAACTGAAGTGTTTCAATTATTAGTTTAAAAGGCTTTATAGAAACACAAAGGTGTTGTTTTTTATATAACACTTTCAAATTAAACTCTTTTAAAATTAACTTTTTAAAATTTTGAAATTCCAAAAAAACTCTATTACTTCTTAAATAAACAGTTGTAGCACATTTGATGTTTAAGTTTGGTGACGCAGATAACCTTTTTCATCAAGCTATAACAATATTATTTTTTTTAATTAAATAAAAATGTATCGATCTTTTTAATAGTTAATTAAATGGCAATGTACCCATAAGTATTACTTTTTACTTGAGATACTTGAGATTTCTTTTTGCCATTTCTTTTTACTTTCTAAAATTCAAAATTGTTTAATTTTAATTTTTTTATCGTAAAAATTTAAATCTAAAACTGACGCTATCCGAATGACGAGGACGCTGCCAGTGATATATTGTTAAACTCTTAGGGCTGCCAAATAAACACAACTCAAATTGACCAAAAAAAGTTGTTTTTTTAAAAAATATAGATAGTAGTAATTAAATAAGACGAACGGACAAAATAAGTAAAGAAAATGAAAGGTTTTATCATAAATTATTAAAATTATATAAATACATCACTAATTAAAATAATAGTTTTATTACGTTTTTTATTAAAAAGAATATGTAAAAGAACATTTATTTTCACTCACTTGCTCCATACAAAGGCGATATTACGGAAGGAAGTGCGGGGGGGGGGGGGGCAGAGGTTTGATGTGTGCACGAGGGGAGGGGGTATTCCACCCCCCAAAGAAGGTGATTTTCAAGTTATAGTCAGTTTTTTTACAAATTTAATCAGCTAGTTTAGTTTTGACAACCTTTTTTTTATTTTTAGAAGCGAGTTGGTACTTTTTAATCTCCCCCCCTTATTTTATTTGTAGAATTGCCTCTGGCTCTATAAACAAAATATAAAAAAAAGATCAAAAATGTGAGCTCAGAAAAAAAAAAAAATTAGATGGCAAGTTTAAAATTTCACCCTATTCACTCCCTTCTCCGTTAAAAACGACTTTATTCATACAAATACCTTTTTAAGCAAAATGAGCTGTGATGTTTAAATATTTTCGAACAAGATAATTATCTGATAATTAATATAGTTTTTTAGACCGAAACTTGTTAAATTTAAGTTTTTTTCTTTTAAAATATTTATTTATTTTATAGTACGAATTCGAGTGTGTTAAATAATAATATTAGATACATTCTGAAGTGTATTCACCCTTAATTAGAGGAAGCATCAAAGGGCTCCGAAAAACGTCACAAAGGCATGCGTATAGTCTAGTGTTGAGTAGACATTAATTCTTATTCAATTTCAAACGCTCTTTAATATAAACTAAAGCTTTTGTTTACATTTACATTAAATTATTATTTGCATTTGATGAAAACTAAGATAAATAATGTAAAAAAAAAATAATTAAAAAAATATCACGCTGAGTTGAGATAGGAACCCTGGACCGTGGATTATATGACCTAGTATTTTTTATATTAGTTCATATTAAAATTGGGTATGACTTTTTATCAATTTCTTCAAATTAAATTTTACTAAAGAGAGTCGGAGATGGCCCGGAGGTCTTTAACTTAATTTATCGGAACTGGAGCTGAAATCGAAGGTGAACCTTGAGTTTAAAATAGAACGGCTTCCACAAACTTTATGAAATAATAATAATAAAAAATTAATCGTAATTTTACAACTACGATTTCCAACTCCAAAGTTGTTAACAATTTTTAATGAAGGTTTTACTTTAACTTCTAGTTATTAAAACAAATCATAACTCTCAAGTTTGATAAAACGCGCTGCGTTCTAACATTTGGTCTTTGTTATTACTTCCAATTTTAAACTATCATAGATGGTTAGAGCCAAAGTTGAAAAATCAATAAAACTTTATAAAAAATGATCTAAATGTTGAAATGCAATAAAAGTTGAAATGAAAAACACTATGTTTTATACTTATCAAATTAAGAAAAGGGCAAATTAATGATGATTGGGTGATTTTAACACAAACACTAGATTTCAAATGTAAAACATCATACAACTATGATTGCTGCAGGAATTCAAGTTTTATCTGAAATGATGGTATTAAGGACAAATACTTAATATAAAACAAAAATAAATAAAAAATGGTTTCAAGAAAAATATTATATCAAAGATCTTCTTTCAGATACTTTATTTTATATTTATTATATCGTTTATCAAAAATTTGTGGAAGTTTATTATTTTTATTTTTGCAATATATAAATGTAATACGATCAACAAATGAAAAAAGAAAAAAAAAAATATTACGCAACATCTTTAAATAAAGAAAGTGTCCAAGCTAGTGTCCAAGTTAAATAAACATTTGAATAATTTTTTCTAAAAATGTTTGATTTAATTTCAATCATAGTATTTTGTTAATAAGTTAGGATTTAATATATTTTATATTTTGATTCCTTTAAGTCATATTAAAAAAAAAAAAATTACTCAATTAGATAAAACAGAAACCAAAGTGCTTTAATAGGATAGACATTAAATCAACAACTGAATGGTTTCAATTATTAGTTTTTAAGGTGTGTGCGTGTCCTTGTACGCGTGTATATGTGCGTGTGTATGTGATTATGTCTCTAAATATAGGCTGTTTTATGCAGCTCACTTAAAATTTAAGTTGGTGTCCATTGGTCTTTTGCCTAAAATAAATTATACGAGTTTTTCTAATTACTATTACACTAACTCAAAATCAGACAAAAGATTTGTTTTAATGATAAAATCAATTTAACTGAATTCAGTTTTGATTGCGCTTAGTATTTATCATAACAGTTATTAAGACTCATAAACATATAATGACAAAGCAGCTAAAAGTATATAATCCATCTAATGATAAAAAGAAACGGGAATTTTTAAATTAGTTTTTGTAACTTTGAAAAAAAAAGTACACATCTTTTTCAGGGTCGTGACCTGTATGTTTTCAGAGTTAGGTGCTGTTCTTAGCCTAATACTTTAAAATTCTCATATTTAAACTAATTAAATTTTGATTCGAACAAGAAATTTTAACTTTTAAAATAACACTTATTTAGTTTTAATGCAAAGAAATTACACTCTTAAGTTTAAAACTTTTCTGAATCCTAGTTAATGAACGTCATTGTACATTGACGCAATAACTGCATTAACTTTCTTTCGTCTTTAAAATAAGTATTGATTTGGTTGTTATTTCATAGCGTTATATCAACATTTAAATTAACGAGGCTAGATAAGATGTCAGCTTCGGTTAATTGCAAAGTTTCTTTCAAACGACGAAAAATATAGAAATAGTAATTGTTGTTTGTAACGTATCATACGCTAGTAGGACTTATCATCAACCATTGACATAAGTTACGTATGTCAATTGAAAACTACCATGAAAATGAGACTAATATATTTATTAGTCTCATTTTCATTTTAGTCGCGAAAATATATTTATATGATTATACATCAATAAAATATTTCAATACTTAGATAAATATCAACATGCATATAATTGTTGTAATTTATCCATCTTATTATTTTTCTTACTAGTAAATATATTTTTTTATTGTTAATTTTAGTTGTATGTTTTATATGTTTTATATTATTGCCTTTAAGTTGTAATGTTTTCAAATTTTACTTCTAAAGTATTTATCGATAGTGTTTAAGCATTATTTATTTTTAATTTCTCCATTTTATTTCAGTACTTTGTTCTGCACTACTTGTTTTACTCGAAGTAAAAATGGATGGATGTCCTTCAGGGTTAGACCAGTTAGAACCAGACATAACCTACTCTGGCCGATCAAGAGATAACAATGAGGAAGATGAAAAAAACATCCTCATGAAATGCTTTTTCGTGGACTTTTTAGAGCAAATTTATAACCGCAAAGCAACAAAAAAAAAACGAAAATTAAAATCATTTTTATTAACTTGACCAACAGTGGCACAGCGTTTAGAACTCTGGCTCAGAACCAAAAGGTTGGTGGTTAGACACCGGCTCTAGCTCAATAGACGTCATTGGCAAGGAAGGAGACGTGAATTTCCTGGTTGAGTGCTCTTCAACGGTGCTCTGCGAAAAAATTGATAGGTCTTTTAGGAACAACTTAATAACTTTAAAAAAAATTAATAACAATTTTGACAAGTTTTATGTATTTTTTTAGTTTTATACGTCATATTCTTGGTCACAGATGCACTAATAATGTGTGAAACCCAGAAGAAATCAAAGTAAAATTCCCATTTAAAGCATTATTGTATTTTACAAACCCAGGTATTTTGCAAATCTATGAAATGTTGTTGTTGATATTTAACCATATTATTTGTTGCAATATCCTTGTATTAATATGTCATAATAATATCATATTTTTAACTTATTTAATAATAAGAAAGAAAAATAAAACCAAACACTTTTTTTGCAAGTATAGTAGCGTAAAGTAAACAATAATTAAAAAAAAAATTTATATAAAAAAAATTATATTATACTTTTTTTTAAAAAAAGCCATTTCAAAACCGTCATCATTTAAAGTTAATCTATTTGTCTTTAAAATCAATTTATTTCAATGATAATATTTAATTTTATTTAAGAATGCTATAAAAAGATAATTTTTTAAGCTTTAAATTATATAACGATTATTATTAACAAACAAAATAATTGTGATTTGGAATAATTTTAAAAAAATATCTAAAAACTATATATAAAAAATTATGGTTTGATACAAAGTGTATGCTAAGTATATTAATAAAGTTTATGGACAAATTATTAAAGTCTAAAAAGAAAAACTATAAAAATAATAAAAAATTTTTACTAGCTAATAATAAAACCGGTCGTTACTACAAAATACACCGGCCGTTACTACAAAATTTATTAATATTGTTTGAAATTTCATACGGATTAACATAATAAATAAATTTATTTACTTTTATATATTATTTTATTTTTTATGTTAATCAATTGACAAAAAAAATTTCGAAAAGTCAAATTCAAAAGAAATTACATAAAAGAAGTATTATTTACCGGTTTTTAGATCCATTTAAAACAAACATGACAACCATTTAAAACAACCATGACATTCATTTAAAACACCGCGATAATCAATTAAAACAATGTGATTTTCAATTAAAACAATAGTGATTTTCAATTAAAACATTTAAGGCATGCGCAATCTTAACATTCTATATTATTTAAATAAAAGGCTTTCTTTATATATATATATTTTTTTTTTATTCGATTTTTTAAGATTATTTAAAATTTTATTTTATTTAAAATATGTTTATTTTCCAACTACTGTCGAGGTATGTCATCTGACCTGCAGTCATCTGACACGCTTCAAAAAAGCTTTCACAGTGTTGTAATAGTTTGATAAGTTAACATAATAGATAAGCATGCCTCACAATAGATAAGCATGCCTCACGCATTCTTGAAATTAGTTCATTTCTTCCAGCTGGGGTCGCATTTCTTCGTACGTTATTCTTAAGATAAAAAAAATCTCTTCACACAGATTCAAGAATGGTGAATATGGTGGCAAATATTTTATTTGAATGTTCTGAACCCTCATCTCAACATTATGATGGATTCTGACATTATCCATCACCAGGGAATTCTTCCTCTGTCCCCAAAACTCGTATAATTTCATCAATATATTCTTGAACCAAAACTATTTTGACTGACACAATGACAGCTTCGCAGTGAATAATATTTAAACCATTGACGGCCAATATCATCGAAACCTTACGCTTCCTAGGGCGAATGACCGGGTTTGGTGTTACTCCTCTTCTTGCCTGCGAAACATGTATAAATTAAATGGACTTTTATGAATAAAAACAATATTTCGATAGCGATTAATAGGCGAGATTGAATCATACCACCTAACATATTCAATACGAAGATATTTTACATCATTGTCGCTTCTTCTTTCATAAATTGGTCGAGTAATTTTTTATGTGTATCCAAATCGGTCACCCATCTCCAGACAGTTTTAATCGATACATTTGCATTTAAAGCATATTTAGTTTCAATTATAGTTGTTGTTGTATTATTGTTTATAAGCTCTTCAATTCTTCTTCTAATCTCTTCATTATAAATAACATGACTAGAGCCAGGAAGTGTTAAATTCGTTCGATCGTACATTTTTAAAATTAATTGTATTGTGTTTCGATTAACTCCTGTTAACGATGAAGCTTCAGATTGAATTTTTCTTTGATCAACGACTAGATTTACAACAAGATTTCATATGTTTTGAGAAACGGAATTTCGCGGCATGAAGATTCAAATTGAGTTTTTCGCGGCAATAAAGTTTCAAATTAAATCTCAAAACAAATTTTCGCGTATTTTGGAAAACAGAATTTCGCTGCATGTTTTAATGAAAATCTAACATTCTCGTGCGCTAAAAGTTTTAATAGGAAATCATGGTTGTTTTAATTATCATCACGCATGTTTTAATTGAACATCATAGTTGTTTTGCTAATACAGTATGTGAATAAAAATATATAAAAAAATATGGTTTTGCATCCAATTAAAACAAACATGAAATTCATTTAAATTTAAGATAAATTCTAATAAATTATTATAAATTAATATAATATTAATAAAAATAAATTGATATAATATTAGATAAATAATTATATAAAGAAAACCTTTTTTTTTAAATAATATAGAATGTTGAGATTGCGCATGCGTTAAATATTTTAAATAAAAATCACGATTGTTTTAATTGAAAATCACATTGTTTTATTTGATTAACGCGGTGTTTTAAATGAATGTCATGGTTGTTTTAAATGGTTGTCATGATTGTTTTAAATGGATGTAAAAACCGGTACCTGTACAAAGTTTATTTTGTTCATAACAAGTATTATTTTGTCACAATTTTTTTTTTAACCTTGTATAATTTTAACTGTTAGGGTTATAAATTTTTGAACTTTTTTCTACAAAAATCATTTCCAGTAGCAGACAGATATATAAAATTTTGTCTAATGACCAAGAATCGACTATGAATAAGAACAAACGACATATGACTAAAATTTATTTTAACAGTAAAATATATTTATATCATTTTACTTTTAATAATAATCATATTTTATATATAATCTAAGTCATAAATTCAACATATCGTCAGCCGAGAACCAAGAGGCCGTATGTCCATTTTTTGTGTTTTCGAAAAAATCAAGTTTTAAAATTTAATTTGTAAAGACTTTCTGCCGGAATGTAAAGACTTTCTGCCGGACAAGATTTGTTGGACAAATATTCTATTTATTGTTGAATATTTTTTGATAATAAACAGAAAAAACAGAAATGGTTGACAACTTGGTTCTCGACTAATGATATATAATAAAATACGTACTAAGGAATCATAAAGGAAACTGCTACAGTTAGCTCTGCAGTGACGTCATACAAACGTAATAGCTCTTAATAAAAACGTAAATAATAAAAGAAAGAACGGAATAAAAGATTCTTGAAATTGCTAAGTTTTTAAAATTTCGTGCAGAAAAAAATAGGTTTTTTAACATATTAAAGAAAATAATACAGTTTTATTTTATACAAAATAAAAACATACAATGTATGTATATATATATATATATATATATATATATATATATATATATATATATATATATATATATATATATATATATATATATATATATATATATATATATATATATATATATATATATATATATATATATATATATATATATATATTTATATATATATATATATATATATAAAATCATAACTTTTACCTTATTTTCCTTTCATTGAATTTAAAATAAAAAAAAAAACTTTTTTTGTGACATTTATAGCATATCGTATTTTAACGTTAAAACATTGCAATATAATGAACAATGTTTTTATAAAATACTCGCACAAGAAAATTGCAAAAAAATGTTACATAACATGATGAATCAAGTTATATAAGAAATAATTGATACATATAATCTTTTATATAGCATGGCAGACGTCATGTTAAGAATGTGTTATATAACCTGTAAAAGAAATAAAATATTATCTAAAAAGTATAGCTGTTTTTATCAAAATAATGTTTCATTTACGTTGTTGTTTTTGTTAGCATTCCAAGCCTTCTACAATGGGCTATGACCATTTTGAAATTTTTTTTACCTTTGTCAACCTACTGGCCCACTGTGGGGTATTGGAATGCAAATAATAACAGCAACTTAAACCAAACCTTATTTGAAAAAGTTATACTAGATAACATATTCATGCAATTTTAACTTAAAAAAAGACATACTTTACATGTCATTTTCTTTTTAGATGTTGTAGTTTAAAAATAAAATATACTGATAATATCAAAATAATATGAGTTTTTAAAAAATTTTCATTAAATATCAATTTGATATTTAATCAAATGTTACAAAAAAAAAATTAGTCTTTATAAAAAGATTCTAATAATCTAAATACTTTATGAATTAACACTTAGTAAAACAATGCCAAGTTATATGAAGAATCTTTGCCGCGTATAATACATATATGAACGCTCTAAATTTAATTTTTGTAAAAACAAGCATTGAACTGGTTCTAAAAAAGACTTTTAATGATGAAAATGACCCTTTTCAAAGCCAGGCGGAGTGTTTTTTTTAACTTTGCAAAGTCAAAACCTAAGTATTTTTATACTTAGGTTTTGACTTTGCCAATAGAGAATGTTTGTAAAAATTTGATGTGGTTTGAGCCAGGGGATTTTTTTGTTGTTGTTAAATGGGTTTTTGTTGTTGTTAAATTGAGATAAAATGTATTGAGTTTTTTTATGAAACAATAAACTTACACTTAAAAATTACGTTTAAAAGCCGTTCTGACTTTTCCTTAAGATTATGTAATCTAAAACACTTATGCAGTTTTTTGTTAATTATTTTTGTAAGTAGATTAAAAAACATAAATAGAATTGAGATTAATTTATAATTATTTAAAATATTTTTGACAAAGAATGTTTTATTTACGTTGTTGTTATTGTTAGCATTCCAAACCTTCCACAGTAGGTTGTGGCCATTTTAAAGAATGTTTTTTTTAATTACTTTGGTCTACCTGCTGACTCACTGTAAGGTATTGGAATGCTAACAATAAATAAAAGTAATTTTTTTGCAAAAAAAATCCTTTTTAGACTTTATTAATTACATAACACATACTTTGCATAACACCTTCAATTTTTATATTAAGCGATTTAAAAAAAAAGTGTTTTTTTAAGATATTCATTTAAAATTATCCCAAATGCACAATTATTTAGTTTAATATTAATAATCGTTATATTATTAATAGCTTTAAAAATTTTCTTTTCATAGCATACTTAAACAAAATTAAATATTATCATTGAAATAAATTGATTTTAAAGACAAATACAATCATTTTAAATGATGACGATTTTGAAATGTCTTTTTTAAGAGAAAGTTTCACTTGTATAACTTATTACCTCTGAGGTCAACTTAAATAAATACTACTTATATAACTTAGTTTTATTGAAATTATCACTTATATAACTTTGTACATCTGGGTCCTGCTGATTGATACTTTAAGTACTCGGCCAATATGTATATAAATACAAATTAGGTGAAAACAGGACAAAAACTCATGCATAAATTGAATTTATATGATTTAAAAAACTTACAAACAAAATATTATTGCTTTATAATTGATATGTTTTCAAAAACTCAGGATTTATAAAACGTTAGCTATCTTGGCCCTTTTTCACTTCCCGAAATTTGAGTTATTTCGTAAAGAAGAATTTATGGTATAGACTTGATGATGCATTTTTTTTTTAATTGAAATTAACTGAAATTATGTGATTGTTTTTTTGAGTTAAGCTCCGTGTTTTGAGCTTTATATATATATATATATATATATATATATATATATATATATATATATATATATATATATATATATATATATATATATATATATATATATATATATATATATATATATATATATATATATATATATATATATATATATATATATATATATATATATATATATATATATTATTATATATTATTATATATATATATTATTATAAGCTATATACGCTTTATTATTCGGTCTTATAAAGTAAGACCGAATAATAAAACGTATATATACTGTTTATTTACGTTTTATATATATATATATATATATATATATATATATATATATATATATATATAATCGTTTATACAGTTTAATATATTTATTTGTTAAAAAAACCACGTGTCATAAAAACTGTGTTTTTACCCTAAAATTGAGGAAATTTTTAAAAGATTAATAAGTAGTGATTATATCTTGTGATATTAAAAATTTACTTTATAAATAAAAAATCTTAAAAATTTATAAACCCAGTTAAAAATTATAAAACAAACAACAATGCAAGACACTATAGAAAGAAAAACATTATCTCGATATTTATTCAAGCAAATTTCCTTATCGCTTTTAATATTAGAAAAACACAAATATGCAATGCATGGCAATAAAAATTCAATAATATTTGGTAAAATACATACGAAAATATAAAAACATTTGTTTAAAAATGTATAATAATAAAGAATCAACTAGTTCTACAAATTCCATCTTTTGACGACTTTAAACTTTTTAGTTTTTTAGAAGTCTTTTTTATCAGTATGTAAAAAATCTGCTTCTTGATTGTTTGGTAGACTATCTGCATAATATATATCTAGACTATGTATCTATATTTCTGTCATGAATTGAAAATAGAAAATAGAGACAAACAGCTTATAAAACGCTTATTCTCAAATTCCGAGAACTTATTTACCTCCTAAGTATCATAGTAACAAATCATTCAAATCTGAAATGTCCTATTCAAAGTTGCTAAAGTAATAACCATCTTTTAAATTGCTCTAAAAAAAAATATTTTAACTACAAACTTATCTATTTTCTATAAAAAATCAACAAACTATTTGAAGGATTCATGTTCATCAGATGAGCTGTATCTCTACATGAACTAAATGGCTTTTGGTCTGCAATATTAGTTTTTACAACATATGTAAAATACTGTAAAACATATAAATTTGCTGATAGTACCATTATTATAGTTAAAAAAAGTCTTAACAAACTAAGTAACCATCTTAACAATGACTTATCGTGTGTTGTGCAAACAAGATATTCATTAAATACCAAAATAACCAAAATTTTCTTGAAAGGTAAAAACATTGATGGAAAAACTTAGTTTTAGGATAAATGGACAAAAATTTGATATTCCTAAATAAAACATGCTTTATTTTGAAAGAAAATTGAAAAAAACAAAAAAAAAAACAAGTGTTTTTTATTTTTTTTAGTTTTTGGTGCCCCAAGAAGTCCTTACGGTCTTATCACCAAGAAGTCCTTCCGGTCTTATCACAGAGCATGCGCAGAAGAGCATTTAATTCACGCCTCCTTCCTAACCGATGTCGCAAGACTTGCTTTAGGTGGGGTTTGAATCACGGATCTTTTGTTTCTGAGGCAAGTGCGCTACCACTGCAAGTACAGACAAGTACTTTACCTAAGTAAAACACTGTTTTACTTTGGTAAAGTACTTGATGAAAAGTTCTCGGTAATTAATTCAATTAATTCATTTAGCTAAATAATAAATCAATTACAATTAATTTCACATAATTAAAATATTTGGTTTGCCATTATTTGGTCACATCTTAACTGAGAACGTCAAATAAGGGCAGATTCATTCATAAAATAAAAAAAATTTATAGACGGAAGTAAATAAAAATGATAACCAAATAGGTAAAATAGTTTTTCATGAAAATACCATACAAAACTACAAAATTAGTATATAAAAAATTAAAATTTAGAATAGTAATATAAGTAAACGTAACTTCCTTGCGAAAAATTCTAATATAAGATCAGTTTACACGGGCAAAACATAGCACGCAAAAAGCATAAAATTTTTGGTGAAAACGTATATTTTTACCAAAACAATATTGTTAAATTTTTTTTTGTTTTAGTTCATCTTTAAATCATTTTACGTGATGTAATTTTTAATTAGATGGCAAACTAAAATAGAGTTTCTAAAAACAAAGCTATTTCTTTTTACGATTAAAAAAAAAAATATATATATTAATTTAGCTCATGTTTAAAAATTTAATTAACCACGTGTTTAAAATGTAAATAAAAATTTACTCGATTGTTATATGATTTTACGATGTAAAAAAAAATTGAACATTACTAATAAACTAAATAAAGTTTACTCGGAGTAAAAAAACAAATCAAATCAAAAGAAAAGATTTAATAAAATAAGAATAAAGCAATTATTTGCCGATTTCACGGACAATTACAGTACTGGAAAAATTATTATGGATTTTTAGAATTGTCCCTAAATTCCATTACCAAAAGCAGCCAAAAAGTTTTTATTGATCAATGATATTCTTTTATTTTTTCAATGACATACATATATATAGTAATGGGGCTATTTTATTGTCAAATAAAATCCATTTAGATCCTGTTTTTTCTAAACTTAGGGTCATTTAAAGGCTAGACAAGTATTGTTGCTGAAATTTACTTGAGATTCTCATTATATAGTCTAGTCAACCAGAAGAAGGCCTGGAAAGGAGTTTAAGCTTAAATGTGTTAAGAAAAAAAACGAATTTTCATACCATGATCATGATATGGGGAGTAATATCCATCTATGGAACAATCGTCTACATATTGTGGAAAGAATGATGAACCAGAGAAAGAATATAGAGGTGTTGGAGAATCGTTTGGTTCCTCACGTCAGAAATTGGTTCATTAATAAGGACTTTATATTTCAACAGGATTATGTTCCTTGCCATATGGGCAAGTTGACAATGTACTCAAACAACCTGGGAATTCTCCAGATATAAACCCAATTGAGAATTTAGGGGACATTTATAGGACAAACTACACAAAGTTTCAATTACTAGAAAAGCACAGCTTATAGAGAGGTTAATCTATGTT